GGGCCGACCCTCGGGGAGGAGCTCAGGGTGTCCCAGCCCCACAGCCAGCACAGAGCTCGGGGGTCTGCTCAGCCCCTGCTCCCCCCGGGCTGAGGGGCGGTCGCTGGGGTCGGGACGGGCACAGCCCGGGGCTCTGGCTCCGCAGGAGGGCTCTGGGCTCTGGGGCGGTTGGGGGGGAGGGGGAGCGGGGGGTGCTGAGGCTGTCCCGGGGGACTTCGGGGCACCGGGGAAGGGGTTTGGGGGGTCCCGGGGCCACCCCCGCACCCAGCGCGGGCTCCACCGCCCGTCGCTGCCCGGGGGGGTCCCGGGGGAGCTCCAGGGGACCGGAGGGTTTGCAGGTACGGGGTTCGGGGTCCCGGGGGGCGCGGCCGCACCTGAAGTCGGGCAGGCTGAGCTGCAGCTTCTTCCGCGCCCGGTTCCGGGTGATGTAGTTGGTGGCGGCTCCGCGCTCGTACTGGGGAGAGACGGGGGCGTTGGCGGGAGGCCGGGGGTGCGGAGGGGACCCCGCAACCGGCCCGGGACCACCGGGAGCGGAGAGGGAGCAGAGACGGGAACCGGGGGATGGGGGGCTGGAAGGGGGCACCGGGCACGGCCAGCGCGGGGGCAGGAGCGGAACCGGGCACCGGGAGAGGGAGCGAGCACCGCTGCCAGGGAGGGCTGCAGGGGCACGCCGCGGCCGGAGGGGCGGCACCGGCACGGGGGGAGCAGCCACGGACCGACACCGGGGGGCACGGGGAGGGCAGGGAGGGGAGAGGGAGGAAGGGCACGGGGAGGCAGCGGGCGGCGTGCCCGCGGCCGAAAGGAGGGGCGGGCACGGGCCCGGTACCTTCTTCTTCTCCAGCCCGCCCATGGCCGCGCGCCGCCACGTGCGCCCGCGCAACGCAGGACCCCGCGCTGCCCGCGCCCCGCCTGCCCAGCGGCCGGGCCTGCGCACACCGGAGCGGCCACGCGAGCACCGAGAGCAGCGCGGACACCGCGATCAGCGCGGGCACCGAGAGCAGCGCGGACACCGAGCGGGCCGGGGCAGGCGGCACCGGGGGCTCAGTCAGGCGCGCCACGGGCAGCCCAGAGCTCCAGCAGGAGGGGTCCTGAGGCGCAGAGCGCACTGGGATATTGCGGTGCCTCGTGGGGTATGCCGGGATATAGCGAGGTAGGGACGGCGCGAAGCACGTCGGGATATACCGTGTCCTAGCAGCGCGGGGTGTGCCGGGATGTACCGGGACGGGGCTGCGCAGGGCGTGCCGGGACACAATGAGGCAGTGGTGTCATGGAGCACGCCGGGATATAGCGAGGCAGGACCGGCGGGCCTGCCCTGGGGTCGGTCGCACACCGGGATGGCGGCCGCGGGTCCCTGCCCGGACCTGCGGGACCCGCTGCCCTCCTGTGGTCCCTGACGCCGCAGCACCGACCGCAGGCACCGGGGCGGGTGTTTGGGAACGCCCTGGCCCGGGGGGTTTCGGTAGCAGGGGCTCCCCAGGCCCGTCCCCCGTGCTCGGGTGTCCCCGGGCTGACGGGACCTGAGCCCAGCGGCGCCCCGGGATCCCCTCCTGGGCTCGGCGGGTTCGCTTCTGTGGCTCAGGACCGCACCTACCCCCGGCAGGGGGAGTTCCACCTCCTGGGGCTCAGGACCCCCCACACCCCTGGCTTTAGGGATTTTCTGGGGGGCTCGTGCCCCCTCCCCGCCTGTCTCGCGGCTCCCGGGTGCGGCTGATCAATGTCCGTTTTCTCAATTAAATGGTACTTGGAGGCGAGCATGGCGATTCTCCTTTCCAGGGGGCGGGTTTGGACGGGTTTCAGCCCTGTCTATTTTCGGGCTGTGGCCTCCGGCGTTGCCCCGAGCAGCGGCACCTCGGGTCGGGCTGTCCCGGGCAGGCTGTCCCGGGCTGGTGGGAATTCTGCCCTGCAGCGCCCGGCTACGCCTCAGCCCAACTTCTGCCCCGTTTGTGCTGACTCGGCCCCGGCGTGCGGAAGCGGCCTCTCGCCACACCTTCCCGCGCTGTCCCCGCTCCCGGCTCGTCCCGTCGCTCCCGGCTGTCCGGCGGGGCTGTGCCATCCCCGTGTCCCCCTGTCCCGTTCCGGCATGGGGCTGCCGCTCGTCCTGCTGCTGCTGCTGCCCGCGGTCCTGCCCGCCCGCTGCTGCGGTGAGTGCGGCCCCGGCCCCCGAAGCTGCCCGGGACCCCCCGGGCCGGGAGCTCGTCCTGAGCTCGGGGGTCCCCGGGGAGCGGGGCCGGGAAGGATGAGCCCCATCTCCAGCCCCTCGGTGACAAATTCTCCGGGGCTCAGCTCCCCCCAACCCAGTCCCTGCCGCCCCTTCCCTTGCCCGGAGCCAGCCCGTGCCCACCCCCAGCACGGGTCCCTGGGGACGGAGGTGTCACCCCAGACCCCCGCCACCCCCTCGGGTCCTCTGTGCTCCTGACCCATGTCACGTCTCCTTGTTTCTTCCTCTTTTTTTTTTTTTTGGTGGGAATTCTGGAGGTTATGGGATGTGGGGGGACGCGGAGGGTGTGGGGTGCGTGGATGGGTGGGTGCCGGGGGTCCCTCCCCACCGCGGCCCCGCACAGCTTTGGGGGGGCTGTGGAGCGGCAGGGCCGTGCCTGGGGGGGTCCCGGCCCTCTCGGGCCCCCTGACCTGCGCTGCCTCTCCCGGGCCGGGCAGAGCCCCCGGAGGGCTCGGCGGGCGCCGTGCGGGCGCTGGGTGCGCGGCTGCTGGGGCTGGCGGGGGACCCCGCGCGGGACCCCGACCCCGCCGTGTACCTGGCCCTGCGCCTGGCCCGCGAGCACGACCCGCGGCTGGAGCGGCGCTACCTGGAGCGGCTGCAGGACACCTTCCGGCACTACGGCAGGTGGGTGCCCGGGGGTCCCCCACGGGCCTTTGGGGCCGCCCCTGTCCCCCACGCTGATGTCCTGTCCCCGCAGGAGCCTGCAGAGCCACTCCCGCTGGGACGCTGAGCGCAGCATGTACGTGTGGGTGTCCCGGGGTCCCCTCGGGGCAGGTGACACCTCAGGCACTGTCCTGGGAGGTAACCGGTGCCTTGCAGGAGCAGGGAGGAGCCCCCGCACACGGGGCGGCTGGCACTGTACCTGCTGGGGCTGCAGGCCACCTGCCCCCAGCTCAGTCCCCATCGCTCGCTGGTGACATGGCTCAAGTACTACCTGGAGGAGGACTGGACAGGTGAGAGTGTCCCTGTGGGGTGAGTGCCCACCTGGCACCCACATGTCTAGCTGTGAGGCACCGGCTCACCCTGATGACACCACACGTTGTCCCCAGGCTCCCGGCGGCAAGGCCACCCCGTCACCAGTTACTACCAGTACGGGCTGGGCGTGCTGGCGCTGTGTGTGCACCGCAAGCGGGTGCGGGAGGAGGTGGTCCGGCGGCTCCTCACGGCCCAGCACCACGGAAGGCTCGGGCATGGTGGCAACACCGTGGGTAAGGGCCCATGGGCACAGGCGGTGGCACCCCGGCATGTGTGTGACTCTGGGGTGACTCTGGGGTGTCCCTGCAGACACCGAGGCTGTGGTGGCACTGGCCTTCACCTGCCTGGAGCAGAGGAGGTTGGTGGGGACCGGGCTGGCGGCCAAGCTCCGGGTGGCTGCACACGAGGCCAGCAGGAACATGGCCAAGGCCCAGGGCCCCGACGGCATCATCGGCAACATCTACAGCACCCCATGGGCCCTGCAGGTGGGTGTCACCTGAGGGGACATCTGGGCTGGCACTGGGAATGGGCATGGGGGGAAGTGGGTCTGCAGATGTGGGTGCGGGTGCAGATGTGGGTGCAGGTGCAGACATGGAGTGCAGATGTTGGTGCCCAGGCAGAGGCAGCTGCCCTGGGGCAGGTGATGCTCAGCAGTGCAGTGCCCAGGTACCCAACCCTCCTCCCTCTTCCCACCACCTCCACCCCTCCCTGTCCCAGGTGTTCCTGGCCACGGGTGAGTGCCAGACGGAGCCGGCGTTCGGCCAGGCCATGGCTGCACTGCTGGAGAACCTGGAAGCCTTCGGCACCGCCGCCACCATGGCCCAGGTGCTGCCGGTGCTGCACGGCCACTCCTACCTGGACATCGCCTCCATGCCCTGCGGGGAGGAGCCAGGTAGGAGCTGGGATAACGGGATTGGGGTCAGCGCTGGTGTCACCACAGGGGTGGCTGGGTGTCACCAGTACCGTGGTGGCTTCTCGCAGACACGCTGACCCCCCTGGACATGGAACCCCTGGCTGAGGTGCCGGGGAACAAGACGGTGCAGCTGGTGGTGGAGTGTCCCCTGCCCTGGTGCTACGAGCTCCGGCTCTACGACCGCCTGGTGCCCGTGCCCGCCGGCGCCTCCCTCCTGGACGTGCTCCAGGCGGCTGCGGCGCTGGAGCCCCGTGACTTCAGGTGTGTGGGGGTCACGCTCTGGTGGCCACGTGCCCTGCACCTGTGCCCTGTGCTGGGCTCACTCCAGCTGCCAGTGCACAGCTCCCTTGGAGCAGCTCTGTACCCCCCCCGCAGTGCCGAGGCAACACCCTCGCCCCCCTGACCCCGCTGTCCCACCCCACAGGTTCCACGCCCAGGACACCCCCCAGGGACCCTTCCTGACGCAGGTGCTGGGGCTGGAGGCCCGGCAGGAGAAGCGGAACTACTGGCAGATCCTGACTGCGCCCAACACCCCCCTGCAGACGGGTGAGTGGTGGGTGGGGGTCCCTGGGGAGCTGGCAGGGGTCCCCCGCAGCCCCGTGGCTGCTGTCTCACCCCAAACTGTTCCTCTCCCCACAGGTATCGCTGACTACAGACCCCAGGATGGGGAGACCCTCATCCTGCGCCTCAGCGAGTGGTAGAGGGTGGGGGGTGATGGCAATGAAACCCCCACTGTGGGCACAGGACCTGCCGGCTCCCTGCCTCCTGCTTTCCGTGGTGCAGCACCCCAAATCTGCCAGGGGCGGGAGGAGGGGACACACACGATGCTCTGTGTCCTACAGGTGCAGTGGGATGGAAGCACTAAAACCAGCAGTTCCTCCAGTCCTGGTCCCACTCGGGAGTGGGGCAGGCGGCGGCTGGGAGCAGCCGTTTTTGGGGTCTCCAAAGCATTTTTGGGACGGCCAAAAATTTGGGGAGTCCGAGTCAGAGCTGTTCATCCTCAGCAAGCTGGATCTTCCTCCTCTGTAACCCCCTGGGGGGGGGGTACTGAGCCCCCACTGTCCAGGGCTCGGGGACCGCGGTGCCCGAGGGGCACCCCCAGGTGTGCCCAAACTGCGTGATTCCCCCGGCAGTTTAATCCAGCCCCCAAAATCCCCGGGCAGCGGCGGCTCGGGGTCGGCGGCGATGGCGCCGGGGGCCGGGCGGGCCTTGGAGGCGGCGCCGCTGTCACCACGGAGCCACCGCGGGGTGCCGAGGGCCGGGGTGCGCGGCGGGCGGGCGGCACCGCTGGCTGTGTCCCCGGTGCCCGTGCCCGCCGTGCCCCGCCCGCCCGGCAGTGACGCGCTGGCCTCGCAGGGCGGAGCCTCCGCCCTCCGCTCCCGCCATCACCAAACTTTCCGCCGGCCCCGGCCGCCGCCGCCGCCTCCCGGCACATGGCACCGCCAGCCCGGCGCTGAGCCCCGCCAGCACCCCCGGCCGGGGCAACGCCACCGCGGGCAGCGGGGACAGCGCGGCCGCCACCGCGCCAGCGCCGCTGTCGCCGGCACCCATCGCGGGGCTCTCGAGAGGACGGGGCAGAGCGGCGAGGGGCGGCCGGAGGCAGCGGAGCCGGTGCCCATGTGCCCGCGGTCGCGGCGGGGCGATGAAGCCGCGATGAGCGCGGCGGGCGCGGGCACCGTGCGGCCCTGGAAGCCCGACCCGGGGCAGGCGGACGGGGGGCGGCCGCCGCCGGGGCCGGCGCTGCCGCTGACCCTCAGCGTGCTGGCCTGGCTGGGCACCGGCACCACCATGGCCGGCCTCAACAAGTGGATCTTCGCGGCGCACGGGTTCCGCTACCCGCTGCTGCTCTCGGCGCTGCACATGCTGTCCGGCGTGGCCGTGGGGTACCCGCTGGGCTGGGCACGGGCACCGGGCCCTCGGCCCCGCGCCAGGATCTACCTGCTCAGCCTCACCTTCTGCACCAGCGTGGCCCTGGGCAACCTGGGCCTGAGCTACGTGCAGCTGGACGTGGCACAGGCCGTGGCCACCACCACGCCGCTGGTGACGCTGGTGCTGGGGCTGCTGGGGGGCCGGCGGCCGCACCCGCTGCAGTTCTGGGCCATGGGGCCGGTGTGTGCCGGGGCCGCCTGCAGCATCGCCGGCGGGCTCTGCTTCTCCCAACCCGGCTGCGGCTTCCTCCTGGCCGCCACCGTGCTCCGCGCCCTCAAGTCCATCCAGCAGAGTAAGTGCCACCTGTCCCTGTCCCTGTCCTGCATGTCTGCCTGGCCCTGGCATGGCCCCTGAGTGCAGGGGTGCTGTTGTCACGTCGGGGCCACTCCCGGTGCTGGAGGTTCTCCCTGCTCGCCTTGCCACCCTCTGTGCACCCTGGTTTCACCCCAGCCCCAATGCCACCCCACCCTATCACTGGTGTCACCCTTGTGCTTTGACACTCCCTGCCCACCTTGGCCACAGTGTCACCCCAACCGTGGTGACACTCTGGCTCCCAGTTTCACCCCAGTCCTGGTGCCACCTGCTGTCCCTTTTGGCCTTGGTGCCACCCTTGTATCACCCCAGTGCCACCCCAGAGCCACCCTTGCCCCTCTCAGGGCTGTGTCACGCTTGTAACCCTGAGATGCCATGACTTTGTCAGACACCATTAGTGTCCCTGTGGTGTCCTTGGGCCATGGCAGGTGGAAGTGCCCTAGCTTGGCTGAGGCTCACCCAGCCTGTCCCATCCCTGTGGGCTGCTGGACTCACTGCGAGTCCCCCCTTCCCGGGGACTCCAGTGGCCACGGTGCCACCCAGGCCGTGGTGTCCCTGGCAAATGGCAGTGAGGAGCCAGCTGGAATGGGTGTGTCTGGGAAGGGAGCGTTTCCCCTGGAGCCTGTGACTCGGGGCACTGTGGGAATGGGCTCTGGCGTGGGGCCCTGTGCCCACCCCAAGGTATCCATGGCTGTACTGGGGTGATGTGGCCCCTCAAGGACACCACTGGTCATCGTGCCACTGCCCTGTCACCTTTTTACCACCACTGGGACATGGACAGTGGCCCTGGGGAGGGTAGGGGCATGTCTGTGTGTGGCAGCCAGCCCTGCTGTGCCTGCTGTCCTCGCTGTCCTCACTGTCCTCAGATGACCTGGATGGGGGGACATGGGGACAAACACTCTGCAACGGGCTGGGAAAGCTGCCTTGCCCAACGCTCCCAAACACAGGCACCCTTGAAAGCGGACACCCTCGGAATCAGGGCATCCCCAGAGTGGGACACCCCCTAAACCAAGGAATCCCAGAAATGAAGGATTCCTGAACTCCTGAACAGAGACACATCCAAACCAGGGAACCCCTAAACTGGGACCCCCGCAAACCAGGGCACCCCCAGCCCATGGAAGGAACTGCCCCCCATTTCCCCCTTCCCAGTGACATTTGGGATTTCTTTCATGCGGCCGGGTGTCTCCTGTGGGTGCTGGGTGTCCCTGCGGCGGGTAGGCGTTCCCCTGGGATGTCCCACTGACCGTCCCCCTGTCCCCCCAGGTGTGCTGCTGCAGGAGGACCGTCTGGACGCGCTGTCCCTGCTCGGCCTGACGTCCCTGCCCAGCTTCGTGCTGCTCTTCGGGGCGGCTGTGGCGCTGGAGCTGGGCCCCTCGTGGCAGGGCGTCCTTCGCCCCGACGCCGCGCTCTGGGGCTGTGTTCTGCTCAGCTGCCTGGGCTCCGTCCTCTACAACCTGGCCACCTCCTGCCTCCTGTCCCTCACCTCGGCCCTCACGCTGCACCTCCTGGGCAGCCTCACCGTGGTGGGCAACCTGCTGCTGTCGTGGCTGCTGTTCGGCACGCGGCTGGGCGCGCTGGGCTATGCCGGCGTGGCGCTGACGCTGGCAGGGATGGTGCTGTACCACCAGCCCCGGCTCCTGGCCACCTGCTGGGGCCTGCATGGGCTGCGGCGGCACCCGCGCCACGAGTAGGGACCCGAGGGGGGTCGGGGCCAGGAGGGCTCTGGGGGAGAGCTGTGCACACGTGTGCCAGTGTGTGTGACTCCTCTGTGCACATGTGTGTCAGTGTGTGTGACTCTGCACACGTGTGTCAGTGTGTGTGAATGTGCAGCTGTGTGCCAGTGTGTGTCACTCCTCTGTGCACACATGTGTCAGTGTGTGTGACTGCACCTGTGTGTCAGTGTGTGTGACTCCTCTGTGCACACATGTGTCAGTGTGTGTGACTGTGCACACATGTCAGTGTGTGTGACTGCACCTGTGTGCCAGTGTGTGTGACTCCTCTGTGCATGTGTGTGCCAGGGTGTGTGACTGTGCACGTGTGTGCCACTGTGCATGGCTCTGTGTGCACACACAGCTGCTGAGGTACACACGTGTGATAGTGTGCATGGTTGTGTGCACGTGTGTTTTCTGGTGTGCCCAGAAGTGAGTGTACACGTCCTGCTTTGCACAGTGTCCAGGTGTGCTGGTGTGCACAGCACTGTGCACATGGACGTGCTGACGTGCACACGTGATGTGTGCACTGCTGTGTGCATGTGTGTGGAATTGCACACTTGGATGTGAGTGGATCTGTGCACAGCTCTGTGCTTGTGAGTGTGCACAGGCTCTGCAGGTGTGAGCATGGCCCTGTCTGGGACATGCGTGTGTTGATGTGTATGACACTGCACACATTGGTGTGCACAGCTCTGGGTGCAGGTGTGGGTGTGCACAGGCTCTGTGTGCAAGCAGATCTTGTGCTTGTGGGCATGTGTGCGTTGCCACAGGCTGTACACAGGTGTGTGCAGTGTCTGTGTGGCACACGTGTGCTGGCGTGTGCAGGCTGGGCGTGCACAGCTCCATGAGTGTGTGTGTGCAGGTGTGTGCTGCTGGCAGGTACCACTGTGCACTGGCTCTGCACGGTGAACATACGGGCTGGGCACGCCCGGGGACATGGCTCTGGACACAGCTCTGGATACACAGCTCTGTGCATCCAGCTGCTGTCCCACCTGGGAAAACAGTAGGTGTGTGTGTGTCTGTATGTCTGTCCGTGTGTGTGTCACTGCTGAGCTCTGCTGGCTGGAGTGGCCTCTGGCTCTCTGTGTACACTCGGTTCTCATGGCCGAACCGAATGCCCAGGACAGGGCAGGTGTGTCCCCTCTCCTGTCCCCATCCCCACCGTGTCGTGACAATCCCACGGGGCTGCCAGTGGTGCTGCCGATGTTGTCTTTGTCCCCACCACGCCCCTCAGCCCCCACAGCTGTCCCCGCCCCTCCCAGCTCGCTGCAGACTGGCATCCGTGGCAGAGATGGTGAGAGCCCAGCCGAGGGCACGGGAGCAGCCTGGACCAGCTGCCATCGCTCCAGGACAGTGGTGGGCTGTGACATGGGACAGTGCTGGGCTGTGACACAGCACATGCTCACCGTGGCAAAGGACAACCCGGTGTGTGCCTGGCACGCTGCCGGGGTCCGTGGTGGCCACACTTGTATCTCCACGCCGGGGCCGAAGGACCCAGCTCCGATTGCACTTGTCCCAAAATAAAGCTCTATTTTTGTTGTACTCCACCCTTGGCTCCCAGCGATCTCCTGGCCAAGAAGGAAGGAAGGGAGGAGCACCCAGTGCAGGGATAGGAAACTGAGGCACAGAAGTGCCTCGGGATGTTGCAGATCTTGGGAAGCTGTATCCACCATCTCCAGCTCCAGCAGGGACAGCTGCGGTTTGCCAGCCCCAGGTTTGGCACTGGGACACCCCACAGGACATGGGAGGGATGCAGTGACACAGAGAGCAGTCACTGACCACAAGTGTCTGGAAAAGGGCTGGGAGCTTTGCCCTGCTCTGGAGTGCCATGATACTGGAGCATCCTGTCCCCTGAGTCACGGAATTATGGAATATCCTGGGTTGGAAAGGACACACAAGGATCATCGAGTTCAGCTCCTTGCTCTGCACAGGACAGCCCCAAAAGTCACACCATGTGTTGCTTGTTCCATTCCTCTCAGCCTGGTGACTCACTTGAACACGAAAGCGCAACTCCGCTTCCCCCGGAAAATCCCCACTGGTTCCCGCCCTCTTTCCCAAACAGTGATTTTTTTCCATTATCAGGGCAGTGATTTGAGGCCGCTTCCAGCAGCGCCTGTGGAACGGCTCCTTCCCAGCACTCGGATGAGGGGCGGGCAGCTCTCCGGGGTGTGCCCAGCGTGGCACCACTGTTGCCACCTTTGCCAATGTGCTCCAGGTGCGGCTGGAGTGGTGCCCATCCCAAAAAGGACACAAAGGGCCCGCAGTTATCAGCCAGCGGCCCCTGCTGTGGCCAGGAGTGTGTTTGCTTTCTGGGCTCACATTCCAGAGGCTTTTTCACAGCGGGGAGTGTTGGAAGGAGGAGTGAGACCTGCAAACCTGCCACCTGCAGCATGGCTGGCTCAGGAGCCTTTCCCCCGGGACTCCCTGCCTATCCCAGCCTATCCTTTGCTGGCACTGGGGTCTGCCTGGATGCTGGCTCCATCCATGGCTTTGCCTGTTCCACCTTGGATCCGGTGCTGTGTGGTGCTTGCAGTGCCCTGCAGGGAGCCGGTTGTGGCTGTGTGTGTCCCTGTGCAGTGGTGACAGTAGCTGGGGGTTCAAGAGCAGCATTCCTGCTGGGACTGGGGGTTGTGTTGCCCGTGGGAAGCCCAGCAGTGGTGGGAGGGGTGGCTGTGGTGACCCTCCCTCCGGGTATTCCAGGCCATGATCTCAGCCTGGTGTTATCCCTCTGCTCCGGCCCCAGAAAGGATTGGGTTTCCCACCACACTGACAGCTGCCCATGTGCTGAGCCCGGTGCTGCTCCGGCCAAGCTGGATGAGAGAAAGGCATCCCAGCCTTGGGGTTTTGGGAAGGGAGCAGATAGGACACCTTTCTGGAGAGGTGGGGTCACAGCTCTGAGGGATGGGTGGCATCTCCACATGCTTGGAGGTGCTGGCTGACAAAGAATCATGGAATCACAAGATGCTTTGGATGGGAAGGGAATTTAAAGGTCATCTTATCCCATCCCCTGCAATGGGCAGGGACACCTTCCACTATCCCAGGCTGCTCCAAGTCCCATCCAACCTGGCCTTGGGCACTGCCAGGGATGCAGGGGCAGCCATAGCTGCTCTGGGCACCCTGTGCCAGGGCCTGCCCACCCTCCCAGGGAACAATTCCTAATTCCCAATATCCCATCTAACCCTGCCCTCTGGCAGTGGGAAGCCATTCCCTGTGTCCTGTCCCTCCACGCCCTTGCTCAAAGTCCCTCTCATTCAAGGAGCTCCAGATGAAGTGTGAAAGTCCAAGATGGGAGAAATAAATCCGAGTTCAGTGGGACAGAGTAGTTATGGCATCATGCCAGACAGTTTTCATGGATCTGCTGCTGAACCACTGCTGAACCCCTCCTTGGAAGTGGTGATGGAACGTGCTGGGATGGCACTGGAGCAGGAGCAGCGTGTGCCCACACAGGGGAGAGGAAATCCAGGCTGGATTTACTGTGTGCCTGGGAGCACAGGGTGGAAATTATCTGTTTCAGGACAGGGATTAGCTGCTGCCCTGGGGCCCGTCTGCCCTGGCACAGTGGGATTTGGGATCTGCAGCAGGGACAAACACTTGCTAAGCTGGGGAGCCTGAGCCAGGAAATGACATCCTTCTGGGATATGGTGGACTGTGCTCTCAAACCTACCACATCCCAGTCCTCAAACAGTGTCACACTGTCCTGGGTATGGAGCTGGAATTATGCAAAGCCTTTTTTAGGGTCGGTGTAAGAAGATTGCATTTTTCCTTGTAGGACAGCCTAGCCCAGAGAGCTGAGGGTGTTTGAAGCTGCCCAAATGAGAGTGGAGGGCAAGAGATGGACAGGATGACCCCTCAGGCTCCCTTCCAGCCCCACAGCCTCTGTTCCAGCACCCAAAAATCCCCTTCAGGCTTTGTCCTTAACCATTTGGTGACTTCACTGCTGGCTTCACTGCTGGCTCTGCGTCACAGGCTCCTGCCCTGCCCTGAGCAGCCTCTTGGCTGAGTAGCTGAGTTTCTAAAAGATTAAATCACAGGAGCTTAAAGACATTTTAAAAGTCTTAGAGAAAGATGGAGTGGTTAAGGTTGGATATGCTCTCTAAGATCACCAAGTCAAACTGTTCCCCCAGCACTGGCAAAGTCAGCACTAACCTATGTCCCCAGGTGCCACATACTCACTTTTTTTTCAAACATTTACAGGGATAGGGACTCCACCACAGCTCTGGGCAGCCTGTTGCAATGCCTTGCCACACCTTCTATGAAGAATTTCCCCCTAATATCCAAACTAAATCTCACTTGGTGCAACTTGAGGCTGTCTCCCTTGTCCTGTCTCTTGTTCCCTGGGAAAAGAGCCTGACCCCCACCTGGCTCCAGCCCCTCACATCTATTGGGGCTATGGGACCCCACCAAGGAATGGGGTTCTTCACAATCAAGGAACAGCTTGCTCAAATCATAAGACATGGAATAATTTGGGCTGGAAGGGACCTTAAAGTTCATCTCATTCCAGTGCCCTGCCATGGGCAGGGACAACAACCATAGATTTCCCAAGCACCTCCTGAAAAAGAGTTGTGGCAATCAAGTTGGGGAAGAGAAAGGTGACATCTTTGGGTCTCTCCCAACCAGAGATGCTGGAGCCTGTGCTCTTCCTTCCCTCTCTGGAAGGCAGCAGGTGACAGGATTGGAGTTGCTGTCTCAAAACCCAAAGCTGTATCCCAGCTAGGAAAAACAAGCGTTGGTGACATTCCAAGTCTCCTGACTCACAGCAAGTTGCTGTCCTGCCTCAGCAGCACATTTTGTGCTGGAATAAAACAACACTCCCTGAGCACGTGGTGGTCTCGGAATGCCTGTCAAGGCCCTGGTACAAATGAGATGTGAAAACTGTGCTGATTTTATTAATAGTAAAATTCACTACTTGCTGGGGTATCTCAAATCCTCTGTACTTTCAGCAGCACAGACTTCATGTTCCAGCTCCTCAGATGTGAGGTTATTTTCAGCGCTCCAGCATGGCTCTGGAAGAACTGCTGCTGGCTTTCCCTGGATTTCTTGCCAAGAGGTCACAACAGCTTGTTTGTAATCAGAGCAGCAGTGTTTCTCCTAGTCCATTTCCATAAACATGGGGCACCATCCCGGCTGGAGAGCTGAGCATCCGGATCTGCTGATGCTGGACCTGGCACTGGCCTGGCCGTGCTGCCAGGAGCTGCTCTTGGCTCTGTGCTGGGGTGGCAGGAATGGACCCTGGAGAAAGGCACCTGTGTGCTGGGCTGAGCCCCCAGCGTGGGCAGCAGGGGAGGGGGGATTCTGCTCCTCTGACCCACTCAGGTGAGACCCCACCTGCAGAGCTGCCCCAGCCCTGGGCCCAGCACAGGATGGATCTGGAAGTGCTGGAGAGTCCAGAGGAGGCACTAGAATGATCAGAGGGATGGAGCAGCTCTGCTGTGAGGAAAGGCTGAGAGAATTGGGATATCTTGGCCTGGAGAAGAAAAGGCTTTAGGGTGACCTAATTACATCCTTCCAGTACTTGAAGGAAGCCAACAAGAAAGATGGAGAGAGAAAGAAAGATGGAGAGAAACTTTGGGCAAGGGTCTGGAGAGACAGGACAAGGAAGTTTCAGACTGAAGGAGACTAGGTTTAGACTGCATATTTTGAAGAAAGTGTTCCCTGGGAGGGTGGGGAGGCCCTGGCACAGGGTGCCCAGAGCAGCTGCGGCTGCCCCATGCCTAGCAGTGTCCAAGGACAGGTTGGATGGGACTTGGAGCACCCTGGGATAGTGGAAGGTGTCCCTGCCCATGGCAGGGGGTGGAACAAGATGAGCTTTAAGGTCCCTTCCCATCCAAACCATTCCATGACTGCATGGTTCTGTGGTTCTATTCCCACAGGCACAATGTGCTGGAGGGATGCTCCATGAGGCCAAGCAGCCAGTGGGACTGACTCACCACCCCCTGTGTCCCCACGCCGTGGTCCTGGCTGTCACTGAGCCCAGCAGCTGCAGATGCAGGCAGTGGGGGTGTCCTTCAGGGGACACACGGATGCTCCATGTGGGGACAGAACCTGGTCACCACTCCAGGCAGACATCAAGGATGGTCCTGGTGCAGCGGGTGAAGGGCAGGAGAAGCTGTTGGACCACTGTGTCACCGAGGCAGAGTTTGGAGGTGACTCCTGACAGGCCACCTGCCAAGGTCACCATGACGACAACTGACCACCAAGAGTAGAGCCAAGGGTCATGGAGGAGCAGGGCCAGACACGGCCTCGTGTCACCTTCTTCGCACCACCCCAGAGCCAGCAGATCAGCAGGCCCCGGTGCAGGGCTGGGGAACTCTCACACTGTCCTGGGGCTGGGGGACCCTCACACCATCCTGGGACTGGGGAGCTCTCACATTGGGCTGGGGGCCCCTCACACTCCGAGAGCTGGTCTGTGGGCCTCTTACATGAAGCCCTTTCTCACCCAGAGCAGCCCTGCAGATTGGGACCTTGATTTGGACTACCCCCTGCCCACGTCCAGCAGCCGCACTGGTGCCCATGAGCTGCAACTCCTGGAGGAGCAGGTGAGGTCTCC